AATTGAGTGTCCAAATAGACAACCATTTAACAGACTAGTATTCATCGAGCACTGGCGTGCCACAAGGCACTGTACCAGGGCCGATTTTTTTCTCGTCAATGTAAACAATGTTCCTCACGTACTTCGATCACCTTGTGCGTTGTTTGCCGATGACTTGAAGGTGTAGAGAGTAATCCGCACACCCAATGATTGTGATCTGCTTCAACAGGACGTCGACTGCCTCTCCACGTGGTCTGCAGAGGTCGACCTTCTGAGCAACCCGGTCAAGTCCCAATTCATGAGGCTGGGTAAGTGTGAACACAGTCGAACCTACACGGTGGCTGGTCAACCGTTGCATCCCGCGCGTTTTGTTCGCGAGGTCGGTGTACTCTCACTCTACGACCTAAATTCCATGGACATCACGAATAGGATTTACCAAAACAGCCTTCGTATGCTTTAGGCGCTCAGGCGCAGCTTCATCACTTGGTCCGAGGAGATTGCCGCTCGCCTCTTCGTCTAAATAATACAACCAATACTAAAATATGGCTCGCCCTCGTATTGTCCTACCACCCGGGGCGAGGTAGAACAGAGTGCAGCATGTAGCCACCAGGCTGATTCCCAACTTACGAGGTGTGCCGTACGAAGACCGGTGTAACAAACTAGACCTGTACACCTTAGCTTATCATCGAATGCGGGTTGAGCTCACTATGACACACCGGATATTACGTCTGGGAGATTACCCAATCTTGAGACTGCTGCTTCATCTGCACACAGCAAGCAACACACGAGGACACCGGTACAACCTTGTCGTACCGGATTTGAAGCGGATTGCTCACCAACGCTGTTTCGAACGCAATGTGGTTAATGTATGGAACGGCTTGCCGCAGCACTATTTGAGGTAAAGTCGGTGTCAGAATTTAAGAAGTTTCTGAACAAACACTTTGCCGACGCAAAATACTTTGAGCGCAACCCAACATAACGGATCTTTGTACCGGCGTGACATTAGTTGCAGCTGCACAGCAAACTCTACTTGCTGTTTCCAACCAGTAATCAGTAAGCACATCTCATTGAGTTCCTTGGGTTGTAGAGAGCAGGAAAAAAATCGCTTGTCAGCCCTATTGATTATGTATCATACTGGGTTTGATGCGTGTCGTTGCTTTACAACGTTCCTCGAGGGTTCGTCACAATTGTAGTGACAGTCGCAAACTTCCAGCATTCTCAGTGGATGTTTGTCTAGCAGTCGCTTGCAATTTTCCTTGGATGGCGCGCCTAAAATTTCTTCCGGTAGGTCGTTCCAATCATTTACCACTCTAATGGATAGGGTGACGTCCATGGGAATTCTGTGTCTTCTTTGCGTAAATAGTTTCCATGCGTGACCGCGTGTAACACCTTCAGTCTTGGGCCGGAAGAATTGTTGCAACTCACTTCCAAGTTCCTCTCGGAGGATGCGCCTAGTGTAGATGAAATCAACGAGACGACGGCGGAGCTCGAGGGAGAACAGATTTATCCGCTGCAGTCAAATGGGGTACAGGAGACCACGAAGCCCCAAAACAGCTTTCGATGCGCGTCTCTGGAGCTTTTCCAGCAAAGAGCATTCAAACTATGAAAACGTATGGATAGCTGGTAGACCATATTCTAAGACTTGATGGACCTACGGAGTGAACAAAGGTCAAAAATGTCACGAGTCATTCGAGCGAATGATTTTCATCTTCTTAAGACACCCACCACTCTCCTTTCAGTGGTCACCTTCAACGTGTCCTGAATCGTTCTAAGGTCAGAAGTCACGATAACCCTGAGACCTCTCTCGTGAGGGGTATTCCTGGGGAGAAACCCACGAATGTAGTATGCGCCGTATGGTTTAGTTCTACCCATTGGGAGAACACCAAATTTTATTGGTCTACTGGCAATTCCCACGTGATGGACCAAATGTGTAGCTGGTCTAGAGCACATTGTAAGCTGTCCGCATAATCAACGTTGGATACTGTTGGCCACAGCCTGAGGTCATCGGTGTAAATCAAGTAGTCGGTTTGAAGTGCAGTCGACAGACCTTTAGCGTACAGTTTGGAGAGCTCTGGTCCAAGCACTGATTCTTGGAGAACGCTACTAGCCATAGGCACAGGAGCAGAGAGGGTTGGATTCACTTGTTTGCGCATTGTTCTACCTCTTAAGAAATCGGCAATCCAGAAGAGAATATTTCCTGTGATTCCAATTCCCTGGAGTTTATGTAGTAGTCGTACCTATGTAATTTTATCAAAGGCTTTACTGAAGTCAATAAATATTACGTAAACTTGTTTTCGGACTTCTATGGCTTCTGTCCATGTTTCCCTGACGATGAGCAAGTTAGCGATGTATGAGCGTGCTCTCCGAAAGTCATGTTGAGCAGGTGAGATGATGTTTAGGTTAACACAATGTGACTCGAGGGCGCACTCGACTATTTGTTCCATGGTTTTGCGTACGACTGATGTCAGGCATATTGGCCGGTAGTTCCCTGGGTCTTGTTTGTTTCCCCTGGTATTTGGGCAAGACGGTACCTGCTTTGCAACCTATGGTTAGGCAGCCGACTTCTAGTGATTGTCGAAATACTTGGCAGAGAGGGGCGGCGATGTACGCAGCTATCGCTCTGAGGAAGCTGGGATGCAATCCATCCGGGCCTGGAGAAGAGTTCGGATCCAGTTCGAGGAGTAGCTTAGTAACAACCTCGGGGTTAATTTCCACTGGCTGGCTAGCCGAACAACCTCCTCGTGGTGCCAGCTTGGTGGTTCGGGTTTAACCCGTTGCAGCAAATAGTTCGGCGGCAGTGTTTCAGGACGTGGTGTGTTTCCGCCCGGCAAGCGTTCTCCCTATAAAAAGCCACAAATGTTTGCTTAACAACACTGCGACGCGGCGGATGTGACTCGCCACAAACTAGAGTCACTGGCCCGTGGATATTCGGAAAATGCTATCCAACCCACGAAAATCGATCGCTTACTCCCACATTCCTGAAGATACCAAACAGTCAAAAATTCTGCGGCGCATTCAAAAACACAAGCTACATTCCTACACAATTACATACGTATATACCCCCATATACTTACATACACTGTTATGCCAAACGTGTCCTTTTGTACAATTTGATCCCACTATGTTAGCTAAATATGATCATGCCTGTAAAGGTGTGCCTCGCATTGTCGAGAATAAAAATTTATTTATTTATTTATTTATTTATAACTTGGTCCATAAAGGAGTAGTGTGCAGGCAAACAGTATTTGAGCAGCGTAGATTCCAATGAGTAGACCGAGGAATATTTCGCAGCCAGTACGGTTGCTTTTCATCATCGCCTTAGAGAACGGTACCTTCCTTAAAAGAGGATAGAGCGGGGATTCCACTACTAGTTTTGGCATTTCGCTTCAGGCAGGCAAAGAGCTTTTTTGGGACAGTTTTATGATTAAATGGCTAGCCCATGTTCATATTGTAGTCCTTTGTCTCGTTTTCTTAGGGTGCATAGGTTTCTGATAGTTCTGCACTCTACCTAGCTTACTGTCACTGCTGTGCTCTTGAAATGTTCCCATAGTTTCCGTCGTTTTAGGGCTCTTACTTCTTTACCAATCCATCGGGGTCCTTTTGATAGTGGTCGGCTCTTGCAGTTTGGGACAAACTGTTCAATGAGCCTCATCATCATAACTTGTATGCGTTCCCATGCGTCATCAAGCTCCATGGATTGCAGAATACTCCAGTCCATGGAACCTGCAGCTGGTCAGTGTGCCAGAAATTTCGACGCGGTGTCCTCTGATCGTTGATTGTGAGGCGCCTTGCCCACGAAAAGGAGACTGTACAGTGATCACTGTTCCCAAGTGTTTGGCGGATCGTTAGATCTGAGAACTCAGAAGGGGCGGAAATGAGAACCACGTCTAGAAGGTCGCGTCCGACCAGGGACTATCCGGTTTTTGTCAAGACATGCTGTCAGGTTGCACTCTTGAACGGTATCAAGAAGATCAACTTCACAGGAATCAGGTGGGAGATCACTGTGAAGAAGTTCCCAAATTATACCGGGGGCGTAGAAATCACCCATAAGGAGGCAGTTTGTTCCTCTGCTGTGGGTTCACAAGGAGCGTAATAGGTGTGAACCAGGTCCTGCAGGGCTCTGTAGACCACTCCGACCATCAGCGATTGGTATCCCGGCTTGGGCAACCGGTAGTATCTCGTCCTCTGACGAAACCACGGATTTTGATGTGTTGTGTTGTGTTTTCTTTTACTATCTCTGTACCTTGTTTTGAGTTCCATGTCTATTCATAGACTGTTGCAATATAGATATATATATATATATATTTGTCATGAATTTGACATCAGAGCATTTCTGACATATCGTTATTGTCACAATCGGGTTCGACACTGTGGGACTTGAGGCAGTTCTTTGTCTAGAGGATCACTCCATCTCCCGACCTCCCACCAAAGCAATCGCATCGAAGCAGCTGATATCCTGAAACATGAACCTCTGAGTCAGATACATCAAATAACAGCCAGGTTTCGCTGAACGCCAGTAGTTCCGGTTGCTGTTCAAAGGAGTGGAATCTCACCTTGCTTGTTTCGGGGATTGAGCAAGTTCGCGTGTATTACCGGTAATCCGTCCTTTATGTTTGAGATACGGGAAGAAGTAAGTTCTGCCTCCACCGAGCTCTGAGTTTTCTTACTACGCGAAAATCCACTAAGTGTAGATCTGTTTTTCCATATGCTTGTAGGGTTCGCAGCTCGCAGACAGCTTGCCTCATTCGAACTCGGTCCTCCGGAGAGACGTCTTTCAGGACGTAGATGTCTCCCTTGAGGCGCGGGGACCGTCTCAGGATGCGCTGGCATTCGTCTTCATCCTTGTTATAATGTTGTCACTAGGCGCCACGCCAAAATTAACATTTCACTGCTCCACAAAACTTCTCTCCCAACCGAAGGAAAAAAGCAAAACGCCAATGACCTTGCCAAAATAACGTATTAATCGCCGTCAACGAACACTGTACAACGACTGCGGACCTTGGCTGTATTTATAGGTCTCTACTGACCTTCGACTTCTAGGATTGGCAAGTCAACTACCAAGGTTAGTCCTTCCCCAAATCTTTTGCCGAGGGGTCAGGTGGATTTTAACCACGTGCAGAAGCAGAACATTCCGGAACGTTCGAAATCGATGCGATACTCGTTAATAATCGATTAATCGCTAAAATAGTGTATTTCCAAGGCAATTCTTACTTTCTCCCGGACACCTCCCCTCCTGAGATATCGTCCGAGGTATAAGACGAAAGCCTAGGATTAATTGCAGTCTTCGGGACGGTATTCTCTGCCTGTCGGTCCACCTGCTTGGAAGCAGCGCCCGAGAACTTCGTTCCGATGTTCTTGTTTTAGATTCTTTGCTCGACTGTGTGCAGTCGTCCACTGCTTCCTTCGGCAGGTTGAAACTTTCCACCAGTAAATCGAACGGCAGGTCAGTAGGCCTTGCTTGTTCTGGTTAGCAAGATGTGGGCCGTAACTGGTTTGCATACCGTGGCCAGATCTGTGCGCCCACCAACACGTCATACACGACGTTTCCGCGCTTGCGTTAGATCGTCCCTGGCGTCTATTTGGCATGGCCTTCCCGGTAGTCACGTACTAGCACCTACTGTCCAAGTGTAAAAGAGCGCTTCTTTGCTCCATGCCGCCAGTTAACATTCTGTTCCATCTTGCTGTTTCATTCACCGAGCCCAGTCGGATGGCGTCGAAAGGCTTCGGAGCTTCCGGTTCATCATGGCCTGTGCTGGAGAGACTCCGTCTGGCGCTTGTGGATTTGGTGTTGCTCGGTAGAGGAAAAGGAACCGGTCAGCCACCTCCTGCATACGTTCCTCCCATTTCTGCTGGACCATTCGACTGTGGGTGAAACGGCGGCGAGCAAACGTGCTGTACGGCGCATTGCTTGCAAAACTCCGTAAACGTTGCTGTATTAAATTGGGAGCCAATGTCGGTGACAATTGTCTCAGGACATGCGAGTCAGCTAAAGGTTTGGCGCAGTTTCGAAACGGTGGCGGTGGTACTTGTGTTCTCCGTAAGAAATACTTCACGCCACTTGCTGTATGAATCGACTATAATGAGGAAGCTTCGGCCGTTGATCGGTCCCGCAAAGTTGACATGAATGCGGCACCATGGCTTAGTAAGTTTTGGCCGCGAATAGAGTACTGATTTCTGTGGCGATTTCCAGACAGTGGCACACTGTTGGCCGCGTTTGGCTATTTCTTCTAGCTGTTTGCCCATGAACGACCAGTATACATAACTGCGGGCAAGCTCATTCGTCCGGTTGATTCCACGATGCCGGCGTGGAACTGCCGAATAAGGCGCTCCCGAAGTGCCTTGGGGATGACCACTCTTTCCGAAAATAGTATGTAGTCGTTTACAATAGAGAGCGAGTGCATCCTCCGGAAGTAATGTTGCAATTAGGCAGACGGACATGAACGTGGCCAACTTGTTTTGTGAAATCGTGTAACCTTCGTGAGTATTGTGTCCCGAAGCGTTTCGGTTCGTACAGCTTCTGCGGTAACTGGTAGACCGTGCAATGCATCAGTTACCAGGAAGTTGACGTCAGGTTCGATCTCGACCGAGGCAATGATTGTGTCCTCATGTTCTTGCTGGCGGGCATCAATTAAGTGTAACCGTGCATCCGCTTGGCTAATGGAAACTGTCGACTGGTATTGGATCTCAAAATCATACCCCATTAAGGTAAGAGCCCAACGTTGCAGCCGGTTGGCTGTATAGGCCGGAAAGCACTTTTTCGAACCAAAGATAGCCAGCAAGGGCTTGTTATCTGTCGGAAGCTTGAAGCGGCGGCCGTATAGCATTTTGTGAAATTTCTTTACTGCGTACACTACGGCCAGTGCTTCTTTTTCAATCTGACTGTAATTCCTCTCGGCCTTCGTAAGTGTTCTGGCAGCATGGACGATTGCCTTCTGAGATTCATCGGCGTAGGTGTGTGATATTACTGCGCCCATCCCATGGCTTGATGCATTTGTGGCCAAGACAATCTCTTTGGAGGGATCAAAATGAGTCAAAAGCGTTTGAAGACCGCAGTGAATTGACGGAGTCGAAGGCATTCTGGCATTCGGATATCCAGTTCCATCTTTGGCCTTTGGCTAATAGCTTGTTTAACGGGGCACGCAGGCAGTGCATCTCAGGCAAGAATGCGCTGTAGTGGCTAATGAGTCCACAAAAAGAACGCAAGGATTGCAGATCTGTTGGTAGAGGCGGGTTACATATCTTCTATGTTTTCCGGGTCTGGTCGACGTCCATCCTTTTAAAGGATAAAACCGAGGTATTTGATAATCGGCGTGAAAATGTGCATTTATCCGGAAACCGTACGCCTGTAGGCAACCAAGCACTTCATCCAGTCGGTTAAACAGGTCTTCCGGTGTTCAGCCCATCACTATGATGTCATCCAGATATGCAGCGGTTCCAGGAACGCCTGCTAGCATGGTGTCCATCAACTGTTGGAAAATGGCTGGAACCGTTTTCACACCAAATGGCAAGCGGTTGTATTGGAATAGCCCACGATGAGTGTTGATCGTCAGCAACTCCCTCGAGACATCGTCAACATCCACTTGCAGATATGCATCGGATGGATCAAGCTTAGCAAAGTACCATTCAACTTTGTAAAGATATCCTCCGGTACTTGTGATGGGTACTGGTGGTCGCTCAGCGCGGCGTTGAGGCCAGTTGAAAAGTATGCGCAAACGCTTACCTTGCCATTTGCTTTCTTCACTGCGACAATGGGTGCGACCTATGATGAGTAGTTGACGGCTGTGATGACTCCGACACGTTCCAGTCGATCGAGCTCTTGCTCAGCGGTTGACATGGCTGCATATGGTACCGGTTTTTGGTCTTGAACACTGGTTTAGCACCTGGTCGCAAGTTCAGTATCACATTAAATTTTGTACAATGTGTCAAGCAATCCTTAACGACAGAGGCAACTTTGCGCTTCAGGGTGCGTGTCATGTCTTCGACGGACTTTGATGATGGGTCTGGACTTGCTCGAACACGGTTGCAGACCCGATTCAGGGGAACATCGAGGAGATTCAACTTTTTGATCCAGTCGAGGCCAAGGAGACGCAAATTCGGCCGGTCTGAAATGTAGCATGTTCCCGACATTTCCACACCTTGGAAAGCAATCTTGCAATTTAGTTCGTCCATTAAGTTTAACACACCGCCCGATGCATTATGTGCAACTTTCTGAGACTCAACCATCTTCGGCCGCTTTATGTGATTCCATGTGCTCCTGTAAATAATCGCGATGTCCGAGGCCGTCTCAAATTGCAGCTTCGTTGGGATCCCACTGATTAACACAGTGATGAATCGTCGTCTCAGCTTACATTCGCTTTGGAACGCGGCAAATATAGACAGAGACTCAGCGCCGTCCTTTCTAGAATTACCCTTTCAATAAGACCACACTTTCATCGACGGGACTTGACTACAGCATTCCTCTTTATGAACACGCTTATGACAGTCTGACAAATATGGCGTTTGAAGGGACAAAAGCGAGCGAAATGCCATTCGCCGCAAAACCAGCATGCTGTGGGCGGTTTGTTCGTAGGCCTCTTGAAGGGTTTGCTTGCTTTGGCGGTCCTGACATTTTCACTAGCTGCACGATATCTGGTGGTGCGACACCATTGCGTTCGACCATGGCAGTGCGTGTTTTAGAGTGGGCAGTAGTTTGCATTCGCTTACGAGGGCCTTCAGTTGTCGGGTCAGGATCCTGCTCCAGCTAAGCTAAAAGCCGCTTTCGGATCTCAGCATTGCTGGGCGATTGTAGAGCGCTGACGAAAAGGAGAGATTTAAACTGATCGTCCGTTAAAGAGCGTAGTTTGAAACATGCACACTCACGGTTAAGCATGTCTGATAAGGCCCCAAAGTCGTCAGGTTCTTGTTCGACAATTTTCAAGCATTGATAGCGCATACTAAACAAGGATACTGACTCACAAAAAATTTTCTTTAGCTGCGACACTGCTTCATCAAAGGTAAGTTCCTTCGGCTGTTTGGGCAAAATGTGGTCAATGAAACTTGAATGTTCACTTATTCCGAGCTTGCGGAGCAGCAATCGCATCTTCCAGGAGTCGTCCAGACGAATGAAGTCAGACTGGAACATGTCTTCCCAACGCTTGAACCACGCTTCGAAGGTGTATCCGAATACGCAATATAATTGAATTCAGTGATCGCGTTCGTGAGAATATCAACAGAATTCGCCTGCGTGTCCCGCGCCGCCGCTCCTGTTGTCTGCAAACTCAAGCATTGTGTCAGATATTCATACATTTCAATTTGTGCTTCCAGTTGAGCTTGCTGTTAAAAAAGCATTTTTGAAATTGTTCAGCGGAAAAATTTATCGCATTTCTAATTTTCTCTGCCGCCATTTGTTATAATGTTCTCAATAGGCGCAACTCCAAAAATAACAATTCGCTGCACCACAAATCTTCGAGCCCAACCGAAGGAAAAAACAAAACGCCAATATATGGATAAATAAATGGTATATTCTCTGTAAAACGATACACACCTCTAAAGGCATGATCAAATATGCATACAAGCACAGCTCCTTTGGAATATTAAAACATTTCGTTTCAAGGAAAGGAATAAACGAAAAGATGTAGTCCATATGAGCGAACATATTGCCAGGTAATAGTCAGATCAAAGACCATGATGGCGCTGTGGCGCGCAAAAACTGTTGCGTCACGATACAAGTGGGGGGTAAATTTGTCATGTAGTGATCCATGAGCACAGGAGCCCAAACAATGTTTAGTGCAATCAATAACCATTACGAAGCCGGGATGATCTGTACTGCACTAAAGCATTCTTCATAGTAAAATCAGTTGCACAGGTTGGATGTAGGAGGGTGAGGACTGCATCATTGTGAAATGTTTGGCTGTGACTTTATTTTGTGGCGAGTCACATCCGCCACGTTGCAGTGTTGTTAAGCGGACATTTGTGGCTTTTTATAGGGAGAACGCTTGCCAGGCGGAAACCCACCACGTCCTGGAACACTGTCGTAGCCTCCGTTGAACTGTAGTGCTAGTCGGCTATGCATCGCATAGACCG